TCAAAGTTATCTCGGCAAGCTCACTGACATGAAGTTCGGAATTCATCATTTGTTTCCCCATCAGATGAACAATCTGATATTAAGATGCTTCAAATCACCATCAGGGTGCTGAAAGAATATTTAAAAAAAAAAATAGAACAATTTCCACCTTTAAAAGTTAGTCAGGGGTTCCTAAATAGTACTTCTCAGAACTGAGAGCATGTTAGCCTCTCATGGAAAGAGCATGACCATTCCCTCACAGCCCCTGCAGGAGGGGACAAGGAGCATGGTCATGGCACAGCACAAACCAGCCCTCTGCTCCTCTAATTCTCCTCTGAGATTGCAAGTCTTCAAATGTTCCCAATCCTGGGTCAACTCATCCTCAGAAGTCTGGCTATGCAGACCATAAAGGGATAGCAGTGGGTAGTTTTACAAGGGAGGCAGAAATCAGCTGATTATGAGAAAGAGGTAAAGGGAAAGGGAGGTACAGAGTCAAATCTCCATCCATTCAGAAGCTGCAACCAGCCTGTGCTTTACTTCAGCCCTAAGAATTCAAGAGCCAACCTCTGTCCCTTCATTCTCATCCTGTAAACAAAATTTAAACAAAAAAATTCCACACTTCTGGCAACGAATACTTTGAGAAAAAAAGTAAAAATTACAATTTAATTACATCTGGGAAATACCCAGCAAACACTGTTTAGAGCAGAGGGAAATTTGTATGAGTGACTTAATTGGTATAAACTTCATTTTTTTAATATGAAATTTTAAAAATTTCACCTTCCAGTGGAAGGCTTTTCTGTTTTGCTTTGAATGATCCTATATTACTTTTTGAAACACAGTGTTCAAGGTCAGAGGAAGTTCGTCTTTACAATAAAGATGTCACGACAAGGTCTGTTTCTTCCTGCTGTTACGCTTATTAACATGGCACCCATCACCACCATATCTGGGAGGCACAGAGCCAAAAGATACATCTTACAAGTGAACAGCCTTATTGAAAATGAAGCACACAGGCTCTGAACAATGTGAGATCTCTTATAAGAAGAAGTAGGTAAAAAGAAAGGAAAAAAAAAGAAGCTAGGATAACAATACAGTAGAGAACCAGGGAGTGAAGAGCTGTTGAAAGAAAACCATAGAGACAGACCTAACAACATGTGCAGATAAACCAGTAAGAAAGCTCAGTATTACAGAGAATGGGTAAATTCTTCAATATATCCAATTCTTACAGGCTCTTAAGACATCAGCCTGATCACAACCATGTGTCACAAGGAGAGAGGTGTCCACAAGGCAAGCACAGGCAATACCCAATGTCAGGGGGTTGAAGAAAAGTGAATATAGCTACATAGGCAAATTCTGGTTGGTTTCAGATGCCATGGCTGCTTTGCCGGCAGCGGGAACGAGTTGTACCACCAGAGGATCTAGCCCAGAAGGCTGGAATGAGACCTTTGGACAGTGTAGATCCACAGGCTATATCACCCTTCTGTCCTCTTTCCAGTTGAATAGTAATGCAAGAAAGAAAAAGGAAAAACAGAAGTTCAAGCTAAAAAATGTTCCCATTCCTTCATGGAAGAACCCATCTTGCTGAAGGTTCGGCCCTCAGGATCTAGGGCAGATATGCGTGTCAGTTGTCCCCTAAGACATCGAGACATGCATCATGCACCCAACTGCACAAATTTGCCAGCAAGTAAAATAAATGTTTCAGCCTTTGATTTAAGCCACATTAGGACAGCATATTTTTGCTCCAGGATTACAAAGCCAGACTTGCTTATGAGGTTATCCAAGGCTGTAGTGTGTGCAGTTCTGAGTGTTTCTGTGTGGAGTTCCTACTGCAGGTTGCCAGACCTTAATTTAAGCCCACTTCAAAAACATAATTCCTTCAGTCAGGCAGATAGTTTGCCAGCAGTTCTTCTGTCCATCCTGCCTTGGACTGTTCATGAAGAAGAAAAATCTCACAGTAATCAAGGTTTTCTTTGTAATCTTTTTCTGTTATACTGAAGCTGTATAACTACAAGCTTACAAGAAATCTGTATAAGATAAAAGCTAATCAGATTCAGATAAGCATTTAGCTACATACATCCAGGCAGTATGAGGATGTAGAAAAACAAATGTTATTTGAATATTTATACAGACTACTTTAAATGCAGTTAGGGAGGTGTACTCTTCAAGTATTAGCATGAAAAACAGGCAGGTCTGTGGCTCAGCTTTGAATATCCATGTCTATGCATCATGTCTTAAAACCCCAGGGTTTTGGTGTTTTTTTGATATATATTTAATAGATTAGTACCTTAAAAAGCAAGAAAAGAAAGAAATAAACTAAATACAGATTCTGTCTAGAAGCTCACCTATACCTGAAAAGATAAGAATGCTGAAGATATTGTAAAGTCAGCAAAAAAATCCTAAGACAACAGAAGCAGAGCCAGTGCAGGACTGGCAAACAAAAGAAACGTGTGCTTTCCTGCAGCAGCCTCACTTCTTCAGAAACAAAGAGTAAGCTGGAGAAAGGCTTAATGCACAAAAATCAATACCCTAGGGAGGTGGCATGCTGCCCCCTGCCTCCCCCAGGCTTCACCACAAGCACGCAGGGATTTTATTTAGACTTCTTAGCTTTATTTAGACTTCTAGTTTTATTTATACTTGTACATTAATGGTTCAAGACTGAAAGAGCACAGGTTTTGTGCACTGATAATTAAGAGCCAAGCCTGACCATCACTGACCGTTGCTCAGGAGCCTCTGCCACCGCTTTTTCCACACAACACGTTGCTTGCTCCCACCCATGTTTCACCAAGAGCCACAAACTTCCTGCATTTAAAGTATGACTGTTTGCCGTAATAGGACTCTAGAAAGTTCCAAAAGCTCTGCCTAAATAACTCTCAGCTGTCTTTCCTCAGTTTTAATTTCAGCTACCTGACATCTCTCTCTCCTCTTCATCAAAGTCCCTCACTTCTTTATTGCTCTTATCTTACTGCACTCTTTATACCCTGTAAAGGACACTAACTAGTTGTTCTCATTAAGAAGTTATTTAAAATACAAAAATAAGGAGGAAAACCAAAACCCACAGGACAGGCACAGCCAAAAACCACAATGACAGAGCTTTCCCACCTTTCCCTAACCAACTGTGACCCTTTCTACTCCTTTCATCTATCTTCTTCCCATGCAGACAGCTGGAAGAATCAGTCTCCAAGAAAAAAATTTGAAACTAGCCCTGCTCCACACAGGGTGCTGGACTAGATTTCCAGAGGTTCCTTTCAGCCAAAATAATTCTGTAACTCTACTTATGAATGAGCATTTGATCAAATCCAAGGCTTTATAAGAGTTTGTTTCAGAGAAAAACACAGAATTGGGGAGTAAAACAAAAAAAAAAAAGACAATAAATTTCAAGACAGACATGCAAAGGCTTCTGAACACTGAAAAACTTTGTAACAGTAGTACTGTGTTTGGTAACTCTTAAATTAGTGGGTTTTAATTAAAGCATAAAGAGGTAAGCTGACTTGTTAGGCAAGTAATTTCCTCAGCAGCAAAATGGAATTGCGGTTGTGATAAATTAAAAAAAGCTTAAATTTTTCTACACCGGCACTTCCTTTTAAAGTAGATTTTTACACATCTCTAATGATTCAGATTTGCTCCAAGTAACGCCTTTTCTCAGCCAAGACCAGCATTCGAGTCCTTGGCTCGAGCCATAGACACACTCAGACACGCCCTGAGAGCTCATCTGTAACGAAGCTATTGCAAAACGTTAACATCACGTACTATTAAACAATCGAAGTTACTAATGTTGGATGGATGCCTTTAGGAGGTCAAACCCAGAGAAAGTCCCACAAGGTTTGAGGGCTTGAAACAACAGTTTTCCATGCAGATGATGAAAGGAAGCCAAATTGTAACACATTTAATTGCTCAGCCCTGTCTCTTCCAAGGCTGGTCATCTTTTCCACAGTGAGGACATCTCAGATTTAAGCAAGACATCTGTCCACTGTCCACTTTTCCCACTATCTCATTTTGACTGACTGTATATCCACTTGGCATCTTCTCCAGTGACCCGCACTGTATGCAAGTTGGACACATAAGAGGCTTCCCCTTGCAACCACAGAAATAACTTTGACAAACAAACATACTGAGAAGAATCACTTCAGCACTTGAAGAAACTACAGTTTAAACTAGGTACTTGAACTCTACAGATCTTTCCTTTCTCTGTCACAAGTTATTGCAACATACTCTTTTTAAAAATCCCTAGGCCGAAAATTGGGACAGGAGAAATCCCCATAAACAGCAACATATATTCCTAACTACAAGACCTCCAGCACACTGACAGCTGTTATTAAAAGGTCTTTGCCATCACCACTGATAGTTCACTATAAAACAGATAAGACAAATCTCAGGAATGACCAAGGGGAGGTTTACCCCAACAAGCCAGGAAGGATGGATGGACTCAGTGACCTATTATTATCAACTTTTCTGGGATTTTGTCAGACATTTCTTTTTCAGAAGTCAAATAATCGCAACTTAATTCTGGATTATAGATCTTGAAGGTAGCATGGAGCTGAGCTGGTAGACCCTTTCAGCCCAGCTCTGTAGAGAGACTCTTGCTCAATTTCATTAATATAATCCTGCACCTGGGGTTATAAAGTCCAGCCTCCTGACAAGAGCGAATAATTCATCATGCTGGCAGAGCTCCACTGCTTCCACTCCCAAAGGCTTCCATAGCAACCCTTCCCTACCTATGTGCGCCATGCAGTTCTGTTTCTTTAAATAAATATGTAAATAACCTAAATAACTTACATTACTACTGCATTTCTTAAGTTATTTTAAGACTGAACATAGGTGCAAGAAAATATTCTTGTAGGAACAGCATTGTTTCTCACATCATATATGATGCAGTTATGATCACAATAATTTTATATAAAAATCAGACATAAACATAAACTTTAGCTGACCTACATTTTTCCAGCATGAAAAAGTATTTTTGATAAACAATTCTGAATCTGTACAATGGGTTACACTGAACGCATAATTTACATAATACCACCTACCTGCAGCTGCAAAGCACAAAACCATCAAAGCAAACACTGAAGTCACACAACTTGAAGACATTTTTGCAAATGCTGTATCTTCTCAAATCAATTCCCTTTGCAGCTCTTCATGTAGATTTGCTTTCTTTGAAATTTGTAGTGTGCTTTGAAATCAAATCCTCCAGACTTTTAATTGCCTACAGATAGAAGTAAAAACACATATTAATATAAATACAACTTACAGAAATTTTACTAGACATTTAAAATTGTCTCTCTTGTATGAAGGAAACAGAATTCTTCCTTAAAGGACTACTAGGGGAGTGCATTTTATATTGCCAGATGCCCAGGTGCCAATAGCCGAGTACTCTTCCCTTGTATTTCAGTACTTCTTTGCAGCTGTTGCTCTCTCATTTTATACACTGTGCAAGTTATGATCTAATTGGAAGTGAAACCCCAGAGTCCTTTCTGTCAACTAATACCGAAGTCCTGCTGAAGTCTGCCAATGGTACTCACACCCTCAGACATGTTTATTTTAAGTAATCAGACTTTCTCTGGGACATATAAACATTTGTTTGGTTATTTATCTGCTGCTACCTTTATTATAGCATGGAGAAATGTTTCACATATGCTCTAGCTGATTTATGGGTAGCTCAATAAATTTAACTCATTGTTTCTTGGTATAACAAATTCTGAAAACTCTTCAACGCCACTAAAGGTGTCCAGAATCTTTATTTTAAGATATTTCAGGACATGATATACCAAGTCAGTTAAACAACCTGAATGTGCTGCACAAAAAAATTGCAATACAGCTGATGCCTTCAAGGCTTAAAAACACTGAAAATTCTGAATCCAGAATTTCACACTACAGATTTTTCAGAGAAAACACCAGATCCACAATATCCGCTTCCACCTTTTTTTTTTTTTTTTAACCTATTCTCAGTCATCTAAATGTCTAGAATAAGACTACCTACCAAGAAGGTAAGGAACCAGAGTTTTGGTATTGTGTTCAGTCAAATAAAAAAATCTTATCTATTTTATTTCACAACCAGCCTTCTGGAACAGAAGATGACAGATGGCACCTTGGTAACCACTAACACTCACTGTAGAGCAACACAAGCAATTACAAACCACTATCATGGGACGAGGTGACAGGAAAATGCTGAGTCAGGACTATGGCAACACGAATACCATATAAAAGATTCTTGCAGACATTAAAATGGAATGAAGCACAAAGACAAAAGGCTGAGCTCCGTTATACAGTGTGTGCCATGCTGCACACCATCAACAGTCTGCACCACAAACACCTGCACCCAGACCCACACTCTCAGGGCTATGACCAAAACACCAGGAACTGCTCTGCAGCATTTCCCTACAGCTTATTTGGCAGGGACATTACTCAGATCCTGCTCCCATCAGCACAAACCTCTCATTCTTCAGAGACATTTTAAGGCACAGAGTTGTGCAGAAAGAGGGAGTACAGGGAAAGAACTGGAGAGAAAGGAATGCTGCTCAGAATCCCATTCTGACCTGACCACCTTTAAATATGTTAAAATGTCAAGTTTCAATTTGACTTTGATATGGGAAAGATAATTTAAAAGGGAAAGAGGATACACACACATTTCCATCCGTACAAGTGATCTGATTCCTACCAGAATCCACTGACCAATAACATTTACAAGGTATAACTCAGAGCAGGCAGTATATGAAAATTCAGAAGAGCTTTCTGAAGACTGAGCTCACTTGAAGATGTGCACTCACAAACTTAAAAAGGAGGTGAGATATCAAACCATGTCAAAAGGTGACAAACTGGCATTGAGTTTCATGACTTTAGGATGAATGATATCCAAGCAGTCAAGCTACACAGCTGCAACCCAAGTCAAAAGACAGACAAAATTGCTACCAATAACTCACGAAAGAATAAACCTACTAAGAAGGCAATTTGTCAGTATTTTGCAAAATCTGATCATCCTCACCTGTGACAGGAGTCAGCTACAAAGCTACTACTAACTGACTGACTATACCAAAGAGGAACAAATTAAAAAAAAAAAAAAAAAAGTGTGAAAAATTCAGCTGTGGTACAAAATCTGCCGGATTTTGCTTCAATATGAAACCTGCTGTCACTAAAAGAATATGTGAAACCTGTGAACTAGGAAAAGCTGAGCCAGTCCACAAAATAGGGAAACATTCCCTTTGAAATAAGAGAAGAAAGCTGTGCAAAGGGATAAGGAACCTAAACTATTTATCCAAGAAATAAACACAACTGCTAGTCAACTTGAGATCCAAAAGAAATTTCCGAGAGAATCATCTTTTCCTTTGGGGTATATCTGCATGGCTATTTTTGTAACTGAGATCACAAAAGGGCATATTAGAATTATAACCAAAAAATCCCAATGAGGAAGAGGAAGAGAAGACAACATCAGAGCTTTGGGTTTACTAAACAATATTTTCATGCTTTATACCACCACCTACAAGGAAGGCTGGTAAAAGCAAACATCTGCAGCCAGAGCCATCGAAGATTAAGAACGCAGTTTGCTGAGGTCACTTTCACTGAAGTTTGCTGTTGTAAAGGCCACTAGTCCTGGTAAAAGCAACAGTCCAAAAAGCACAAAGAGCCTGTTTCATTGAGACATATCAGTTTGCAGATGCAATGGGAAAGAAGCACTGCTGGGAGCATCAGATTTGAAAGAAGACTGGGGGAACGGAAGGGGGAAAACGCATTTTGAAGTACATGAGGACAAGCAGAGAAGATAGCATAAGGTTTTAATTTGGTTTAAATGAGGAGCCTCTGATGTCCATGAGAATTCTGATGCATAAAGCTTAGCTAGAAAGCAATGAAAAGCATGATGCTTTTGGAGGACACCAAAATGCGCTGAATTAAAGGACAGGTAACACTGTTATGCTAAACTAGAGGACAAAAGATGCTCCTTAACTCAGTGGTATTTATAGGAATCTGCATTTGTTAGAGCCAGCAGCAGTAAGCACGAAATACAAATCACTTGAGTGGACTACTGTATCTCTCTGCCTTTTGCTAATCAAAATAATTTTCTTTGTAAAAATCTGCTACTCATGATCCTCAGAATCCCAGCCTTCTGTGGATTTTTCAAAGCTATTCTTTGAACTAAAAAGTCACCTTCAATACTACATGACCAAAGCATTCACAAGTGAGAAGCATGCTGCTTACTCTTAAAAAAACAGCTTTCCCTTGGGACTTCCCAGCCTCACTGACAGGCACTCTCAGGCCAGAAGGTTCTGTGGTCTATGGATGGCTTATTACTAAGAAATCACATTCTGCGCTGTTCTGACACCAGTGGAAATGTATCCACCCCCACACCTGCCTACTGCTCTCCAAAAAGGGGATGGGACTCTGTTCTAAAGCGCTTAAGGGCTACAAATGAAAATGACCCGCTGTACACCCTAGGATTAAGCTCTGTCTTCGAGGACATTTGAGCACTTCGTACTCAGCCTGTTTTTGTACTTCTGGCCAAGCACCTAAGACACATTATTCTTCTTAAAATCAGTGGTCTCCTTCATTTCAAATTTTACCCACTTTTTTTCTCTTGGTAAATTTAACTTTGCTTACTTTTTCAAAACTTCTCTGCACAGTCCAACCTAGCAATACATACGCCTGCAGGTGGGCAGAGCCACAGATTTCAGGGTATTTCTCTTTCCTATTAAAGGCTTCTACTATATAGGAATTTGCCACATTTATTGCTGAATTAGAATATTTGGGGGTTTTTTCCCTTTTTATTTCTATTCCTTTAAGCCTCTTCCCCAGTAGTCACCATCTGTTTCATTAAACAGCACCTACCTTTCCCATACAAAGTCTCCCCTTGCTTAACTCTGTCCTCCTCGTTGTCTAACCTTTTCCTTTACTGCCTGAAGAAAAACTTCCACTTCCTCTCCTCCTTATCTACATGGACTCTGGTAATTCCCTCTTCTTTCCACACGTGGTGCCAGAGGTGGCACAGCTCTCTACAACACTGCTAACAAACACTTCGCTACCAAAGCCAGCCAAAAATCCTCCTCTAAGTCACATCACAAGTCCCAACAAAGTGAATGGGGATAGTTGAGTGAAGCCAGCGGGATCTGTCCCTTTGTGTTGTTTTGCCATAGCAACATGAACCCAAGTTTCTAGGCCATCCAAGGCCGCCTTCACAGCCAAAGCTTTTTCACTTTTTGTTTGCTTGTTTTACGCATGGCAACCATTTAATTTATTTAACCAGTTTTTTGCCCATTTGTCCAAGTTGGTTCCCTATGTGAATGCAACAAATACATGCACTCCATGTGTAAGTAAGAAAGCCAATCATTTGTAAACAAGTACAGCCAAGATCAAGAAAAAAGCCCCACACCAACGATTAATTATACAAGCAGTTCTATAAACTCAGGAATAGAAAAACAGCTCTTGAAAGAGTTTATTTAATAACTCCACTCCTACATATTAAATAAGCATTTTTGCAGATTTCTTTTTTATTAGATGACATTTATCCTCTGTCAATTCTCCGTGATTTGCACACTTAGAGGTCAGAAAGATGACTAATAGGATTAGCAAATATTCATGTGGAATTGAAAATATGTACTTTTTTAATGCCTATGTCCAAGGCGTGTACATGAAGTTCCACATTCAGAACTGAAAACAGTAACTTATTCATAAACTACTGAGGGGACAGATTCTGGTTTAAAAACAACAAAGTGGTTTCGTTTTCAGGGAATATATGAATAGTAATAAAACTAAAAATCCTGACATATCAAAAGCCCAGGGAAAAAGTAACTCTGATGTCCTGCAGTTCACATGCTGCTGTGCTTGTAATGGGACATTTCAACAAGTCACAGTTAAAGGCTATGGGAACTGGATAAGGGCCAAGGGAAGATGCTTTATGCCATTTAGCAATTGTGCCCCTCTATTCCATGTGACTTTTAACATTTTGTTTATTTATTTTCTTATTAATGTATTACAGCGTAGCTTGTCAAATTACAGGAAGCCCCAAAATATACACAAATGAGTCCATAAAAGATGTAAAACCATTCTACCTTCTTAGTAATGGTTTACTGAGGTGGGTATTGCTACCTGGTACATATTTTGCCCACAGCTGGCAGGAAGTTCCAGTTTGGAAGAGGGTGTCTATTCTCAGTATCATTTCATAACCAACTTTCCCTTCAGCTTCATAATATTTTTATTTTTTTTTAAATCACCTGACTT